GGGGGGTGCAAAAATTAAGTCATAATGAATATTTTATTTTAACTTACACCGTTAATTGAATTTTGCATGAAATAGTACATATTTTATATTAGTTTTTACATGTATGTCTTCTAGCCTGACTAGACATTCAATTTACAATAACGGAATTTTTTCAATTTAACGTTTTTTTAAAACTTGATTAGCTTATTTGGCTACCCTATCCATTTTCAATACTGTAGTGTGGATTAAATGCATGAGCCTAAGATAAATACCGCTATCATGTGCATCACATTACGTAATACTTCTGCCAAACAATTCCATATATTTTTCACAACTAATTTCATTGATCATACAACCCTCAGATTTCCCATATTACCCCAGAGTGGGAAAATTACTTCAGAACCCCCCCCACGACGTCAGGTCTAGCCTGAAACAGGCGTTGCATTAATCTTATGGGAAAATGTGACCGTACGTAAATGTATACTAATGTGACTGGAAAATGTGACTGTATGTAAATTAATAATTGAAAAAATTCAAATGTTAATTTCTGCATTATTCAATTCCACGGCCGGAGTTAAGTGATCTATCTTGGCTTCCTGTTTGACAACGAATCTTAGGCTGATTTATCGGCGTTTAATGGCGATTTTGCAATTCACCCAGATGATAAAAACGATAGTCAGAATCTACTAATGGCAGTTGAAACAGCGAATGAATCGCTAAAGTTTCTCAATTGTCAAGTACGGCAACTAGCTTGATACAATTGTTGCATGCTTTCCTGTTGCAGTGACAATTGGAAATAGGTATGCCCAATATATTTCTTCTATATTATAACAATGTTAATTGGGACACTAAGAAGAAAAATACAAGGAAACTTGAAAAAAGTAAAAAGTAAATAGAAAATGAGAAGAGAAACGAAAATTGAGAAGAGAAAGAAAGCGACCAAAGAGTGTTTGACTAACTCCAGTCCTACAGTGAGTGTTCTGTTGTCAGTTAACGAATCATGAAATCTGAACATTCTAATTTCTTGCTTATGAAGCAGCGGTAAAGCTGGCTTTCGACAGCTACTTAGTTAATAACACTGGGAGGTCATAAATTGTTTCCAATTAAGAAACTTCTAACAACGACGGAGATGGGAAGTACGACGCCCTGAAGATGGCTACGATTAAATAATTGAAACGCTGGCCAACGAGCTTACAATGTGTCGCTCTAACAGGAGAGAGCTATTGCTGACGTGTTGCTTCTAATTCCAGGGCTCTGAAAAATTGCCCCTTGGCTCATGGCTTGTGTTCATTGCTGGGACTTTCTTAGAATAACTACGATCTTCTCGCATTATCAACTAATTGTGACTCCTGAACCCGCCGCCGGGGAGCGATACAAAGGTGTAAGTCCTTAAATATATCCATTAAATACGAAGGTTGCAAGCCTCAAAGCACTCACGTGTAGTTGAGCATGTCGGAGAGGTAGAGTCCGACAGAATAGCACAGGCGCGATTGCGTGTCCTGGTAGAAATTCTCCTTGCTCTGCAGGCGCTCAGCTGGGCGGTCTGGGGGCAGCTTGGCCATCTGCCGACAGAAACACCTCGCCTTCATACTGTGCTCATTCCAATGTTTGGGAGAGTCTACAAAAGTTTATAGGCGAAGGTGTAGGACAATTATAAAACAAATTAACACTACTTGTCATACTTGATGTCGATGTTTAGGCTGATCTCACTTATCATTCAACATGCTGTATGGGACGGTCGCACGCGTCAGGTGGCGACGCAAGTTTTATAAAATTATTTTGAGTCTAACATTGCTGCGAAATGTGCCAGTAAACGCGTAGTTATCCTTTACCTGCAAGCGTGTTCTCAGAGTCGATGACGCAGAAGCATTTAGCCCTTTTGTCTCGACCCACCCCACGCTAGGTCGCATCCGGTAACTCATGGGAAAATACGGACGCCTTTCCCTTCGAGCGACGCATCGCCGCTGCGCCCTGTTCTCAGAGATTGGATGACTTTCGAGTCTCGCAGAATTTGGTAAGAGGCGGGCGTCCATCAACAGCGCCGCGATAGGGCGGAAGAAACCGCGTGACGCGCGCCCGTAAATCGCGGGAAATGAAGCGGGGGAGGGTCACGTGACCCGCAAACAGTGTTGCTAGATGTGTTTAGAGAGATTCCGCCATGTTCGTTTCAGTTTCCACCGAAAATCCGCTGCATTGGTTTTAAATGTCCCGCCTAAATCCACTAAACGTAAAATAAATTATTTTTCCATATTAAAATGTTGTATTAATTTATTCTATTAAAACAAAAATATGATTGCGAAATATAGTGGCTTTATTGAACC